AAGAGTCATGTTTGTTGATATCTGTGCAGCATTTCTGTTTGCTTTCCTTAGAATTTGCACAAGTCGTACTGTGACGTATATATCAATTATAAAGTCAGTGATGATAGAACTCCATTCTATGTATCTTTCTGCAGGGTCACGATCATGATAACATACTGGTAACTTTGCTACTGGATCGTAAACAATGCTAACACGTTGTAAGGCTAGAATGGGTACCTGTATGAAAAATAAATATAGATGAAATGAAGTTGTGTCTTAAGAACTAAACAAGTAGAATTCTAATGAAACGTACCGTAAGGGCAGTTTTAATAGTAAACAATATTATGCTAATCCATTGATCTCGACGATCATAGTGTATTTGTCTTAATCTCCACAGCAAGAAAGCAGACAGTGACTCTCTGAAAAGTACGTTGCCAATAGCTTGTAAATAATGGAGTGCGAGACATTGAGAAAATGGGATATTTGGAGGGACTATGGAACCAGCATATATTATTACAAAGCGCCAAAGGTTGCTAAAATTAAAAAAAATTTTAATAAGATTTGATCCATTAGATGGTCGGATTTTGTACATAAGTATTGCCACGACTAAGTGATGTAATGTAATCTATATCATTAAAGGCAATAAAGTTAATTTTTTTAAAAAGAAAAGCAGAAATCATTATTCATAATATTAAATTTACCATGCTTCCCGCGCCGACAAAATACGATGTGTAACCCGTAAGTGTAATTGGGTTGTCCATTTTAGATTGCTATATACTTATGTATTGCTATATACTATGGGTTTCTTTTTAAATAACTAATGCTTGAGCGAAAACGAAAAAAGAGAGAGAGTGAAATCAAATGGACTAGTGTTGAATTCAAGCAAAGTTTGAATTAAAAAACCAAAAAGCATTGAGGGGACATGGTTGAATATGAATATGTTTAAAAAATCTTTTTTGGCAAAAATAGCGAATAAAGAAAATTTACACAGACAATATTAAAATTGTTTGAACCGTAATATTGTTGCCATTATTCTATCGAGCATAATATAAATTATCACGCATGTTTAAGACAACTATAAACTTGTACATACTGTATGTGCATACGTATGTACCCAAATTCGATTCCATTATATTAAATGCAAGACGGATAAAAGCATAATTATCATGCT